CACATTTTATGGTAAGTAACACAACAGAATATAGAAAAGTCAAAGAAGAGAATATTTACGCTAAGTGCTGTTGTTATTAACGTTTATGTGAAACTTTTTTAAATGTCAGATGAATTGTTTAGTATGGTATTGCCTACTCAGGTGGCAGTTCTATTTATTGCCACAGAGTGTCACTAAAGTCCCACATTATAAGTGATTACCATTACCATTGTACTGTGTAAATAATACTGCCTGAAGGATACAACTATTTTCTTATGTTAATAATGGGCATTAAACTAGTCTGAACACAGAATTCTAGTACATGTGTCCATGTGGCTGTATAATATTTGATGAATGACTTTCCTGAGGCTCATATTTCATTCTGGTTTAAGTATATGTTAGAATAATCTTAGTAAGTGCTTAAAAGTAATGATGCATGCATATCCACAGCCAATTTTTGGAAGCAATGTGCTGTATTTAAAGTGGAACCCTTGTCAATTTTTTTTTTGATAGAATACAGAAGGGATACAGATATGCCTTGTGATGATTACATGGCAATCAAACTTTAACAAGTTCCCCAGGGGGGTCACTCCCAGCTTCACAACTCAGTAATTACTGTGAGGACATTTAGTTTCACAGAAGCGTTATATCTGCTGTGTTGTTGGTAGAGATCTGCTAGAAAATCTCAGAAAGTGGTTAAGCTATGGTAATCGCCACCTCCACCTCGATAGAGTATGTCTGGCTTGATTGAATAATAGCTTGCAATTACCAGGCTGCAGCAAACAATGCAAGCAGAGTACTGTCTTGTATTAAAAAGGGGATGTATTGTAGAGACAAATCTATAATTTTACCACTTTATAGATCGCTGGTTCGACCTCATCTGGAGTATGCGGTCCAGTTTTGGTCACCAATCGACAGAAAGGATGTCCTTGAGCTGCTGCCTTCTTCTCAGTTAGAGCGGTTAGTGTTTGGAACTCGCTGCCGCAAGCAGTGATTTCAGCTGAGTGTTGAATCATTCAAAAAGCATTTGGATGTATTCCTCAGAGACCGTAACATTCAGGGATACAGGTACACATAAGAACAAGATCTCACAGGGACTCATACACATGCAGAATCACATGCATACACGCAATAGGTTGAACTTGATGGGCCTGTGCCTTTATTCAACCTCAAATACTATGTTACTATGTTACTATGTTACTATGTGACTTCTAGATACTAGCTGGAAACTGGATCGCTGTCCTGTACCTAAGCGAACATCTGGCTTGAAGACCACAGGGTCAGAGAAGGACAATACGATTAATACAGTGCTTCTAGAGAGAATGTGTGGAGAGAGGGAGGATGAGGAGGATTGGGGGGGTAAGCGGGACCCTTCCACTGTTAGCCGGTATTTTTCTTTTAGTAGTAGACATTTTTAACTAATGACAGGTGTGTTCATTTCATAAACTTGTCTGGGTGACTGCCTCCACCCTTGGCCTTGCACGTGTTCTAGCTTTACATATGTGTCCTTGCTGTCAATCATAGTGTGGTATCACAATGGCTAGTGATATGCAGATTTTGTATTTGGACATAACCTCAAGGCGTGATTTTATACTAAACACGTCTGCAACCTAAATTGGGTCCTGAGACATTGTTTAAGAAACGATTCTTTAAAGCAATGCTTTTGTGAGAACTTTTGTTATTTTTTTTTCAGGATGAAAAAAGAATTATATGTATGATAAATATATCAGAAAGTACATATTCTTCTATTGAAACAGGTATGCAGAAACAGTGGAATGTCTGATGAGCTGTGTTAATATTATACCTCTTCTTAAAGTGACACTAAACACAGGAGTTAAATCTTAAAAATGCATTCAAGTACCTTACTAACAAAAATGTATCTTATTTGTGTATCACTCGGCTGTAGATTATCAAATCATCTCTGAATTGGTGCTGACACTGTCCTTCCTCCCGCAGGGTGGCTACTTTTGTTCCTTATGGTCCCTGTGTGTGTTATAAAGTAGCCACCACTCCAAGCTCACTGTAACAGACTCACCTCTGTTCGATCCAGCGAGGGTGTCTGCAGACGTCCAGCTCCGCTGCGCTGCTCCTCACCCTCACGCACTAACTGTCGGCTTAAAGCCGCGGGCTTTGTGGTTGCTTAGCGTCCTACTGATGTTGATGTTGGACGCTGAGCAATCCCCCTGCTTAGCCATACTGCCACCTAGGCTACATGTCTGTGCACCCTGAACTCTATTGCTACACTTCATGGAATACTCACGCCTGCTGCTGTCCGGACCCTGGAAGACCCTCTGACTTGCTGTTAGAATCAACCTGGGAGAGGAATCATCACACTTCACTGCCTCCAAACTGCAAGTACAATTATCAACTACTGTATTTATTTTTGATTGTGCCACCATAGGAATCACACCCTGATGGGCGTGAGTAGTACTACAAGTCCCAACTATCTGGTTACTAGGCATTGACGCTGGGATGAATAACAAATAACCGCTACCTGTTGTGTGTGAATCTCTTCTTGTACTATATGAAACATGGAATCGGTCTCTGAGTTGAGACATCATAAGTACCTCATCTGTAACATAAGCATTTGTTACTACAACTCCCAGCCATCTGTTTACTGACTGTTGACCAATGCTAGGTGACCCTCGTTCCTTTGTTACATGAGTACGGTTTACGAGAAACAATTGAGACAGGGAATCTGGGGATAATTCCGTCATCGAGTGTGTGTAAACTACAATTCCCATCACCCTGGTTACTCCATAGAGGGAATCTTATACAAACCTTCTGTTATCGTAGGATAATGTCCTACCTGAGGATTCAATCAAGATTGGCCTGAATACAAGGTCACTTCTATTTTTTACAGATTAACCTGTTAATACCCTACCTCTGTTTATTCATGAGAAATACTTAAAGGAGAACTATGGGGTCAGTGCTTTTCCCCATAGTTCTCCCCAGGGTCACGGGAGGACACAAACTAGTGTCCTCCCATCACCCAAAGCTCAGTATACCGCGAGCTATAGCTCGCGGTATACTGAGATCGCCACAGCCGGGACGGATCCCGACATTACTGTCGAGATCCACCCAGCTGCGTGAGTGACAGCTGGCTCTGCCTGTCTGGAGGCAGAGCCAGTTGTACCCGCCCCCTCCCCTGTCCGATCGGACAGGGGAGGTGGGAATCCCTGCAGGCTCCCTGCAGGCTCTCTGCAGGGACATGATCGAGAAGTGAGCGAGCGACGGTATGTGTTCGCTCACTTCCCGATCTATTGAGCCGACGTGTGACAGTTTCATTGTTACAGGTCGGCTAGAACTATGAGGATGAGTCATTTTCACTCTCCTCATAGCTCTCCTTTAACTGTGCTTCTTAGGTATGAAGTGAATACTTAGGGTGAAGCCTGAATATAACTTGCTTTCACGGTGCATGATGTAGAGCAGTTCCTCGATCGCCTCCCCTCTAAATTGGCGTCAGCGCGTGGAACTGCAGACTGATCACCGTTCATAAATCTCAGGTCAATCGTAATGTTTGACAGCTAAAAGGAAGGAAGAGTACCTTCACACTATCCGCAGTTGAGATCCATAAGAATCCGTTGCTTAAGCGTTACACTCACTCTTGTGATGGACTATAATTGCATGTTTATTTAGCTAATTTATATTGATATTGTAGTCCGTCATGAGAGCAAGCTTAGATTAGTGACTACTTTACAACACACATGAACCATGAGGAACAAAAGTAGTCACCCTCCAGAAGGAAGGACGGTGTCAGCACCAATTCAGAGATGATTTGAGGATCTACAGCTGAGTGATACACAAATAAGATACATTGTGTTAATAGTTAAGGTACTTGAATGCATTCTTAAGATTTAACTCCTGGGTTTAGTGTCACTTTAACTTGGAAACTTGTTTCTTCAAACTCTTGTACTAATGATATGTGTATCTAAAGTTAAACTAATTTGTTTTTTTGTTGTGGCTAACGTAGGGAATGGTTAATCTCCTGTAATTGTTTCCCCATTGTGAAGATTTTTCTTTACTTGCTATACCAAAGACGCAACATTAAGTGAGAGGAAATCACCTCTAAAAGAGTTGTCACGGGAGCCAGTATCCCAATTGGAAGAATTTCCCTCTATTCTTGTTCTGGTAAACACCAGCTTTCCATCACTTTCTGTCTTACCAAGACTAAAAGAGAGTGTGAATCATACCAGTAAGTCACAGGCAGCAATTAAACCCCAATAGTGGTTCCAACACTTCCATGCTGTATCCAAAACATAAAAAAAGTTTCTGCTTTAGATACAGTATAAATTAACAATGTAATGAAAAGGCACCCCACTCTGCATTGAGAACTGACTCCAGGCATGGTTCAAATAATATGTTTTTGATTTAGGTACTTATATCTCAACTATTTTAAAAAACAGAGCACTCAGAACTTTTCACAATGCTGCAACAATTTCCATAGTAGATGTGGTGTGGCTATAGTAACCAAAGTAAATATTGCTAATTAATATTTGCTTTTAACAGGGATGCTGTGTGATTATCACATACATATATAACTGTGTAACTAACACAGTTATATTTTGGAAAGAGTACTGTAGTAAAGGGATAGAACCACTGTCAGGTTTTTAATGTCTCTGTCCCTGTTAGGGAGATTCACCTCCTCTAATTGTCCTGACAGTGATAACCAATGTAATGTCTCTGGAACTGAAAGTGGGTGTAAATGCGAAATTGTCAGTTGCCACCAGAACAGAAATAGAGGAGAAATCTTCCAATGGGGTCAAATGTCTATAAGCAGCTATTTCCCTAACATTAGAAATATATCCTTTCACTTCCTGTTGAGTTTCACAGGACAAAAAGCAAAGGTAAATTTTATTTAGACAAAGTTAACAAAAAACAATTCAGTGATTTTAACTCTCCCCAGATCTAAAATGAAAAGAAAGTTGGTTTTAGAGGTACTACAGTGACTACAAGATATTATAAAGAGACATACCACAAAGTAATATCAAGAATTTGCTGTATTTGAAAATGATGGTATCCTACAAATGTGGATTTCTGGTCATAAACTGAGTTGTAGCAACAGGATCTCCCAGTCTGCAGCGGTGGACAAAAGCATAGAGATCCCAGGGACCTAGAGATCTTTCACTGTGGAGGATAGAGGGAGAAATGCCAGGCTGTTGCACGTATAGCATGAACTGGTATCTGTGATATCCAGTATGAGCTGGTGGGCTTGGTGGATAGTAAGGAGATGTAACAGTTCCAGTTACCACTTTCCCTTGTAGGAGAACATCACCTGGAATATCTGTTATCAACCAGTGCCTCCAGAATCTGTGTATTGGGTTGGATCTGCTTGGAGCATCTGGATCCACCATAATCAAGGTGTACAGCTTTTCTGGTTCAGCGTGAGAATATCGAATCCATGGAGAGCCCTGGACTTTTCTTGAGCATCGGGGACAGCCAAAGCAGTTTGTTACACACATACAAGAAACATCTCCGATGTCGGGGTAGATTACATGAAGGTCACGTTGACAAAATTTGGCATCATCTCCAGTTATAGGATGAAAGTCACAGAAAACAGGATGGGTCAAGTTGAAGAATGCCGTGGATAGGAACATTTGAAATGTAAAAAACAGCTTTGCCATTTTTGCAGGTGATTCCATCTACAATACTGTGTACAGCAGTCTGATGGCAGTTTCTACCCGAGGTTACTTCAAATTATGTTATCTCACATGACTGTGGTGTTATCAGTTTTCTCTATCACGGTAGCTTGTGATAACTTCGTCAGTTAGCGGTTTCACCACCTTATCTAGAAGAAGTTAGGTTTTTTCATAATAGTTTCACTTATGCAAGCAGCAGCTGGCTGTCACTGACACAGCTCCGCAGCGGCTATGAGGGGAAATGCGCCATGGCCGCTGCTGAGCTGTGTCTGTGACAGCCAGCACCCATGCCATAGCGGTCCCCCTGTGCCCGGGCCCCATAGCGACCGCCTGGGTCGCTATGGCGATTGTTACGCCACTGTCTGTCCGTCTATCTCCCACCTTGACTGCTTTTAGGAGATCCCTAAAGACTCATCTCTTCAGGGAAGCCTATCCCACCTCAACCTAACCACTGAACCATCACTTTCTAAAGCAATTCATCCCCACACAGCCACCTCCTCATGTATCACTTGCCCCTCCCTTTAGATTGGAAGGCCTCACGGGCAGGGCCCTCCTTACCATCTTGCCTTGAATTGTATTGTGATTGTAATGTCTTCCTTATATTGTAAAGCGCTGCGCAAACTGTAGGCGCTATATAAATCCTGTATTATAATAATAATCTCTGTAAAATGGGGGAAGGGGGTGTTTTTTAGTTCCTAGATGTGAGTTGGGTGGATGTTAGAAGCTCGCTGGATTACTGGCAGGATCAATAGGTTTTCTTATTGCACTTATCAAGCAAGTATACCAAAACGCTTTTACTGGTATACATAAATATTAATAAAATCTGTGATTTTTTTTAATTTTTTTTTGCCCAGGCTAACAGCAAAAGTTAAAACACATTTTAGTCAAATACTTTCAGGGATCGGTTGGGATTAGTTGTGTATGGTCCTTTTAAGACTATATCAGAAAGCATAGCACCATGTCTGTGATGGAAAATGCTGATTAATTAGGAGCTGCTTGCTGGAATTCTGCCACATCATGTCAAACCAGCGGATGGCTTCATCAGAAATGACAAGAGAGCAGAGTGATTCCTCTAATGAGGAGCCCCTCCAAATCTACATATTCCAAGAAAATGATCCCTGCTAACTGCTTATAAAGCCTGCCAGGCATTTTGATGGAGATCCTGCCATTGCATAACAGGAATGACAGAAAATGTTTATTAATTGCACTAATGAGCATTACAGGCCAAATGAATAGCCAGAGGCAATGGAGACCAATACAACTATAGAGGTGAACTGTACATAGCTGACTGATTTATACTGCAATAACCTGAGCAGAAAACATGTAACTGTAACAGCCTGTAGTCTAAAATAAAGGTAATGAGACATCACAGTTAGAACAAAGGGCAAGAGGTTACTTTTTTTTGCTACTGTACAATGTCTGATTTTGTGTTTTGCGAATTAGTGATACAGATAATAGAATATTAAAGGGGTTGTGACTGGTTAATGCGTTTGCCGGATCCAGATGTTGGATCGGCTGAGTCGAACTCCTTCTGCACTTCGGGTCGGCCGAACCTGCTGAGCATGTTCAGCCGACCCAAAGCCATGTGAAGCAAGCCGATGTACGGCTGAAATCAGCCATACCAGCCTGAAGTGAATAGCCAGTGTTCGGCTCACTTCACTTCAGGTCGGTCATGCACTCGGCTGCCTACGGCAGCTTAGTGAATAGACCCCTATGTCATGAATGTACATTTATATCGGAAGGTGAAAAGCTTGTAAAAAAATTGAACACATACTATACTGTATGTTTATCCTCCATTTTATAGTCACATGATTACTTTTCTTAGTATCACTGCAGCAGGGCCTCCGTTGGGGGTAGGGCTAAGCCCTACGCATTACATGTCCTGTGGCATTGCTTCAGCTATTAAGTGCCCTCCCTTCCAAGCCATTCAGAGGGAAGTACACTGTCAGTCAAGCATTTGATCCACCTATGGAGTGGATCACATGCTTAATTGACAGTTTACTCCAATCTAAATGACCTGTAACGAAGTGCGTATGATAACTGAAGTGACATCACAGGACGCATGAAGCACTGCAGTTTAGCCCCACCTCCAACTCAGGCATTGCTGGGCTGTATGTAAGAAATGTGGCCATGTGACCAAGGTTGTAAACTGTGTATAGTAAGTAATACATGGCTTACCTACCTAAAGGGGAGCATGCGCACTGTGGTGGCAACTCCTTGAAGGTGAATCCTTCACTGACAATAGTCCAAGTGTGATCTGAAGCCAGGCATTCCACAATGACCTACTTACAATAGGATACATTTTTGCCCGATGTATGCAACAGCCAGTCAATAGCCATTGAATCTTGTACAGTAGAAGTAAAGGATAGTTTTAAGCTCCATGCAAACCTACCAGAAGTAGCTCTCCATGGTGCTGAAATTGTGCTAGGTTCAGCGCTAGGAGGGTTAACATACATATAAACCGAAGAAAACAGAACCCCTTCCAAAGCACTGGTGTCAATGATGTCAGGCATTGGGCTTTTCGGCAAGCCTAGTGTCCAGGATGGGTTACTGTCAAGGAAAGGGGGGGGGGGGCTATGTAATACTCACCTTCCCCACATGGGGGACAAGTAGGTGGTCATCCCCTTTCGGGTGAACTGGTTTTATGGTTCGCTTGGACTCCTAACCAGTTTACCATGTGCATGGGTAAGATGTTTACTGGAAATAAACACTATGACACTTGCGTAAAAATGCTTTAGTAAATCTCTTTCTACTAATACCTTCCAGGTTTCATCGGTATCTGAGGTGTCTTGCTGGGTCTAAACAGAAATTGCACACAGTTTACATATAGCCTATCTCAGGAGAAAACAAACTCCCGTTGCGGTGAGGCTGCCCCGGCACTACACGTGTTACTGCTCATTAATGTCTAGGGGACCTTTGTAAAGGACCTTTACTTACCTGATTCTCACTGCCCCAGCAGTCAACACTCTCCTTGTCCTACACTCCAGCTTGTGGACTATCCCTCAACATCCTCATGTATAATGCAGGGTTATAGTCCCTCCATTGTAGGTGATTATGACAGCGGGCCCCCAACCACTGGAGCGGAGGGGGAAAGTGGCTGGGGGCACTGGTCTTGGAGCTTGTGGGAACAGGGGTAAGGTAAGTAAAAGTGCTTTATGCAGGTCCCCTAGACATTAAAGGGTTATTAAACCCTCAGCGTGTGTTTGCATATATCTAATGCTAGCAAGCAGCAAGCTAGAAGACTCATCTCTTCATGGAAGCCTATCCCACCTCAACCTAACCACTGAACCATCCCTTTCTCAATCAATTCATCCCCACACAGCTACCTCCTCATGTATCACTTCTCCCCCCCTTTTAGATTGTAAGCCCTCAGGGGCAGGGCCCTCCTTACCATCTTGTCTTGAATTGTAATTGTAATGTCTTCCTTGTATGTATATATATATATAAAGCGCTGCTGTTGGCACTATATAAATCCTATATAATAATAATATATGCAAAAACTTTTTCAAACAGGTTTAAACTTACCCGTGTCTTCGCTGCACGCTCCCGTCCAAACAACTGAAGAGTCTCGGGCGGCCGAAGGTTCTTGGGGCAGGCGCAAGAGCAGTTCAGATGTTCGACGTGGAGAGACACAAGGTAAGTCTATGGAGCAGCGTGCACCCGCACAGACACCGTGGGACAGGCAGTGCTAGCGAGCACAGAGGAGTCAGTGCTGGAGGGACATCTGAAAACTACACTAAAGAGGTAGATGAGCAGATTAAGGGGCATGATTTAAGGTAAGTCCTTACACTAACATGGGGGGGGGGGATTATCCTTTAATGTCACTTTAATAAACAGTTAACTCTTGAAGTGCAGGGACAGCCCCACTGTTTTTTTTTTTCAAGCAGATTGGTTTTACGGAAAATTGTGCTGAGAGAAATATGTAGGCTGTAGTTGCTGACCTACCTTTCTGAAAATGCTGGTTTATTGCCGGTCATGCATTGATGCCATCCTTTTGATCTATGATTTCAAAAATTTCTGAGGTGCTTATCTGAAACATGTATGCAGATCAAGGGTTCTGACTTTACTTGCTGCATGCTTACTCTGAATTACTGACTCAAAAGTTATTCATCCAATGCACAACCAGCCATCTCAAATGTTTAAAAAAGAGGTCAGCAGTGGCATACTTCATGTTTCTTTCAGTATGAGATTCCTTTACAAGTTTGCATGCATTCATTTTACACATGTCATTGAATGTCAAGTTGCAGGGATTCACGCAGTCGACTACGTGAATCCCTGCAACTGGAAAATTATATTGAGTTGTGATGGGAATTCTTTAGGCTTTTCAGCAGCTTGTTTGGCAGTATTTAGCAACTTGAAAGGCTACTGCATACAGGACATGATTGACCTGATATTTATAGGGGGCAAATAATCCAGTCCAGGAAGTATATGAAGAGACCCTGAATGATGCTTGAACAAAGATGGCACTGGCCTTCTGGGGAGAAAGCAAGATGAGGCCTTTTTCAGGAGGCATACTGTGATCCCTTTAAGATATAATAAATAACTGTATATTTTTCAGGCACACCTTACATAGAATGAATGTATTTGACATTGAAAAAAAAATATCTGATACTAAAACATCCCTGCAGCTGAAAGAACAGGCATGCTTATTTTTTGGAAAGGAAAGACATTGTAAGGAATCCAGAGGAAATAGAATACATGGGGATGGAAAGGAAACATCTTAGACTACCACTACAATATAATAATAATAGTATTCAAACAGTGAAAGTGTCTCCTAGGATTGCAGTGGTAATATTTTAGGACATTCGGCTCAGCAGGTACAAGTGTTTATCCTACGGAAACGTACTAAATACTGTGAGCACTTTGCAAGTTCCATCCTGTCTATAAATACAGTTGCTATCTAACCTGGGTCAAACATTTTCAGTAGTTGCTTTTAGTATTAAATTATAGTTGAGGAAATCCAAAAAGCAGGAATTTCCTGTACA